TAATTAATTCTATTTTTAATTTATATTATTACCCATATTTAGTTTTATTCAAATATTAATTTAGCTATATGTATTGTACCTAATTTATAATTTTATTAAATTAATAATTTTCTAATTAATTATTATTAATTTTCTTTCATTTCTCATTTTAGTTTTGAATAACTTAATGTTTTACTAATTTTAAAATTTCTTATTATCATGTATTTAATATTTCTTGTAATTATTCTTTTGAATTTTTACTTGTTCTTGATTAAATTAAGTGAAACATCATGTTAAAAACAATTTATAATTAGTATAGTAAGAAAAATATTATATATAGAGAATCAAGAAGTGATTAAGAATAATTAAGTTTGATAGAAGTAATTATTACTGAGTTAAGAATAATTAATTAGTATTTTTCTTTAATAAATACATATATTTTATCTTATATCTTATCTTATTTTTTTCTTGTTCTATTAAAAGAATATTTTATTAGAAGTAAATTTACGTATATTATCTTATTGAGAAGATAATCATATTTTATTATAAGTAAAATATATATAAATTATCTTATTGAGAAGATAATCACATTTTATTAGAAGAAAATCTTATATATAGTATGGAATATTAAAAACCAGAAAAAATTTCTGTGGAAAAAAATTTTCATGATTAATATTATTTATATATAGATATATATATTTTTTAAAATAATAAATAAATTAAGATTTGTGACTTAAACTGTGATATATTTATTTATATTAATATTAAAAAAAGAAATTTTTTTTCTTTGCATGAAAAATAAGTAGTAAGAGAGAGGTTCAGCATTAAATAATAGAATTCTTGTGAATTAAAGGTATCAGAAATATTAAAAAGATTTGAAAAAGAACTAATATAGCCTTCTTAATCATATATGACAATTTAAAATGACTAAAAGAAACTGATACAATGAAATGTACACATAATAACTGCTAGCTCCAAAAAATAATAACTAAAGCATCTTACAAATTAAAGAAATATATTCTTTAGAATTCCTTTCTCTTGATGAGAACTCTGACTATAAAATTATCAAAAATAAATATTAAAGTCTTATATAGAACTATAGAAAGGTATTTGGCAATTATAGACTTTGAAAAAAGTCTTTCAGTTATGACTTTTATATTTATCACTATACATAAAGAAAAATATGTAGAATAGGTAAGAAAACATATTAATAATAACTAGAGAAAGACTTTATTTACAGATGAAATTGCATTTTAACTATTTTAAAACACAGTGAAATATTAGTATCAAAATAAAAAATAACCTATTTAATGTATACCTAAAGATCATACTAAGATTTTTGCATAATATGAATTCTATAAAAATAAAAAGATAAGTTTATACTGTTTTTCACAAATTATGAATGTTAAGTTCTACATGAATATTCTTTATAAATATCTGCCAGAGATAAAGAAAATGTTAGGAAATAGGTGATACTTTCAGCAAGATAATGATTTAAAATATATGAGTTATCTTGCTAGAGAATTTCTTGCTAAGAATATGTCATAAGTCATGAACTGGCCTTCTAATAATTCTGACTTGAATCTAATCAAGAATTTATAGAGTATTATTAAGAACAAGATCAAGATATGGATGTTAAAAAATTAGGCTAAATTGAATTTTAGAGGAGTAAAAGAAAATTTAAAACTCTACTTTAAATAATTTAGTAGATTTCATGAGAGGACATTGCAAATTTATAATCAAAAAAGAAGAGAAATATATCTCTTATTAAAAAAAAGCTTAATAATAAAAAATAAACTTCATATTATTGACTTACTTGATTAAAAATATCATGTGATTTTGGTCATTGATTATGACATAATGAGTAATTTTTTCATTTCAATTTTCAATATTTTACACTATATATTATCTTATTAAAAGAATAATTAGTTTTATAATCTCTTGAAGTTATAAAAGTTAATAATTGCTGTGAACATAATCATTATTACCATTTTAAAATAATTACATATGTATAATCTTAAAATAGTAATAATATCATTATAATATCACATTAACTAATGATAGTTAACAATAATAAGTTATTATCAGTCATAAAAAATATAATACATAGATCCAATGCATAGTATTCATAGACAAGAATTAGGAAGAAACTGAAAATATCAATCACAATCAACTAAAATAATATACTTATAAATACTTATATGAAATTTCAGGCTACATCTCTCATAAGATAATAAAAATAAATACACAAAATTATTTTTAAGTATCCTTCAACTCATCTCAAGCTCTTCAAATAGCTCTTATATACATAATCAATAAAAGTTATAATTTACTAGCTAAAAAATTACAAAATAACACTCAAGAAATTGATATCAATATTATCTCTCTCAGAAATATCCTACTCAACATTTCTGAAAGCTTAATCTATAACACATTCTTACAATTTGGCACAGTCAAAGATATTAAATCCAAAATAGCTAACCAATAGCAATACATTATAATCAAATTTAAAGAAAAAAAAGCTGCTAATAGAGCTCTTCAAAATTGATTAATTCTTCTTGAATAAGATAGCGTACAAATTATTCTACTATAAAACTAATACAAAATAATCACAAATAGAGATCAATATAAACTCAAACTCACAAATCTACCATATAGATATATAATATACAAACTTTCTGACTACTTAAATTCAATAAATATTAAAATCTGTTATATTTCACACTCATCAGTAAAATATTAAAGACAGCAATATATCTGAATTACTTTTGCATCAGAAACTGATCTAAACTCAGCACTAACATTATCAGTTATACTCAGATAATCATATCTAAAATAAAAATAAAGATTAACTATTATCTGTAATATATATTTTAAACAGAAATATCATATGTTAAAATATCATAACAAAGCAAAATATACCTTTTAATATAAATAACTCAATAAATTATATAAAAACAGAAGAATTTTCTACAGAAAATCAAATATCAATATAACTTCCAAGTCTTACAAAGATGTCTTATTAGGAAGAAAAAGCTCTAACATCCCAATCACTAACTCACAGCAAATTCCTTAATCCTAAAATTAATAAAATCTCAAACTATCATAAAAGCAAAATATTCATAATAATATCAAATTCACATCTAATCAAGATTCTCAACAAATAATAATCAATAATAATAATAATAATAATAATAATAATGAACAAGTAATCTTCTTATCCAAACTTTGCAAAAATATAAATATACTATTAATATAATTTAATTTATTATAACTAAAATTTGAATCAATAGAATAAAAACTTAATCAAATACTATTCAAGCTATCACTTCTTATATAAGATTCAAATACAATAAATAAATAACTAACTTTAATAATATCATAATTAAATATAATCAATAATCAATTATTTACAATAATCTCGTAATCACAATCTATAGAAAACTTAAATCAAATTATTTATGATCAAGAAAATTAAATCACAGAACTAACTATACTTAATCAGTAACTACAAAAATAATAATAATAACTTCAATCTTAATAATAAATCATAATAGAAAAACTTAACACAATTAAAAATTAAAATACTTATAATGAATAATTCTATAAATTTACCATCTACTTCAATAAACTCATTATAAATGACTCATCTTAATTACACTACAAATACAAACTCTACTATAACAAACTTATCCATAATCTCACAAAATGCATTATATATACATCCATCAGACAATAACATAAACTTCAAACAAATAAATATATTAAGAATCATCACTCTAAATTGTAGAGATCTTAATATAAATAGAAAAACTGAAGATATTTACTCATTAATTCAATTTTATTATATCAATATCATCATTCTTACTAAAATCATCCTTCAATTATACATAGCAAAATACTGCTTTAAAAGTTTTCCAAATTATACTCACATCTGAACATGCAATAATAACTAATCATTTGATATTAAAATTAGCATCCTGCTTCATAATAACTAGTACACATATTTACAAAAAATAATCAAACTAGAAGATTACTTAATTTATATCAAATTTATCTTCAAATAATCAGTAAATCTCAATATAATAGGATGTTATCTGCCAGTAGTAAACTATAAATAGGAAAAAAAGATCAAACACAAACTTATATGATACATAAATAATATAATATTATATGAAAAATATATCATTATAAGAGGAGATTTCAATAAATATTACTTCTAATCATCCAAGCACAATCTAACTAATTGCTACTTTTCAAAAAAATAGATGATGACTTTCATCTTAAATATTCAGAATTACTTAATTACATATGGACAAGACAATAAATATATCACTGACTAGATATAATCTAATATTTACTACTTATTACTAATCATCTTAAGCATGCATCAATAATAGAATAATAATGGATCAAAACAGATTATCTACTAGTAATTAATAACTTACATATCATCTTGTTTCATAAAATATCACAACACATAATCAATTAGTATAAAAGAAAAAAATTCATATACAAAGTCAAAAATATCTCAGATCAAACATGGCTAGAATATCAATTCCTAATAGTAAAGATATTTCAAAAAACAGAATCTGACAACATATTAATCAATTCCTAATAAACCAAAATCAAAAAGTCTATAATACAATTAGCTAACAAAATATTAAAAAAGATAAATATAGCTAATAAAAAAAATATACCAAAAACAATATACATAATATAAAAATAAATCTCTATACTCAATGCAATAACTTACTTCTACAGGGTGATACCTATTTGAGTATAGTATATTTAGGCATGTTGGTATGGTATGGTTAATTATCTTAATATTAAAATACAAAAAATTATATCATACCTACTTAATTACTATATATATATATATATTACACAAACTAATCTAGTATAGTATGATTCAATACAAACAAATTATACCATACTAAAATGGTCTATATAAGAAACTTTGTGTTTATATAAAAAAACTTATTCATATAAAATTACTGGGAAAAGTAGTGTAAGTTACTATGGTGAGGTATAAGCTTTGGTATTGGGGGTATTGGGAAAGCTATAATACAGGTATAAGCTTTAGTATTAGATTAGAAAAGCATGTTATTTTTGCTTAATTGATGTGTTAAGACCTCAATTTATTAGTTATCAAGTTGTTCTTGTCATAAAAAACATAATAATATGTAGGATGAACAGTTTCTTGCAGACCTAGGTAGCTAAAGATCTCACCAAAACTTTTCAAAGATAAATACATTTTAATATTAAGATATTTGAAACTGTTCTATAGCTTATTGATAATTTTTACCTTTAGGTACATGCTCAAAACCAAATTTAGAAGAGAAAACTGAAGATGGTGGGTTGGTAAAGAATGTGAAGATGGTGAGTGCAATCAAGAGTGAAGATGATAGGGCAGTTAGGTAATGGTGGGATAATTGAAGGTAGTGGTCAATTTTACCTCCTTCATATACTATGTAGTATACTAAAAAGAGATTTTGTATTGTCATGCTGTAAATAGCAATTTTTATACCAAAAAAAGCCAAACTTTATTATATTTGATCAGCATTTCTTATTCTCAAAACTAAATACAATATTCACTTAATTTTTTGATTAAGATAAAAATTCCTCCTCATCAAAATCCTCAAAGGTAACCATATTTCTAATATTATTAAGATCTTTAAAACCCTTCTCTAACTCATCAGTACCTAATTCTCTAGCATATTTCATATTATTTAATTCGAGTTGGTGAATCTCTATGGCTTCCTTTCTAATCATGATTTTTATATACTGTATGCGTAACTGTTTTTCAAGTTTTGCTAGTTCCATATCATCATTCTCTTACGGTAAGAATGAAGTAGTTCATAGTTTTTTTATCTTATAGAACTAATTGGAGCTTGTTATTTTGATGCTGTAGAGATGCTTGATATTTTGGGTATACGTGATATTGCTTATTTATTTACTATAAAAAATATCGAAATCAAAATTTGACTAAATACAATTTATTGTGAAGTGGTAAAGAATGAGGAGAAGTATAGTGATGGTAGAATGTGAAGGTGGTAAGAGCGATAAAATATGAAGATGGTGGAAGGGGTAGAGTATGTGGGGTTATGAAAACACTAATGTGAAGGTGGTGAGATCGGTAGTAATAATTGTAGAAAAAGGTATTGTGGTGATGAAAAAATAAAGGCAGCGTACTATTGGAGGGATGATTGTAGTAAATAAATAATAATATAAGAAACATACTACTTTTTCTATGTGCACAAGCAACATGATCAACTTTACTTTTTCTTCATGTTCTATTTGGTATACCAAAAAAATCATATGTTATTATAGCTGCAAAATGGTGATTATCTAAATGCCAGCCCCTACAAATAATAAATCAATTGGAAAATTGTTAGCATGAAGTAGGTGACAGCAAAAGGATAAGACACTATACCTGAATATTGCTGTCAAGAATTTCAAATATTTCTCTTCTTGATTGATATCAGAATGACATCTCTCAGTAATATTTGTTGTGTCTCCTGAAGAAATCCAATAAATTTCAGGAATACGTGAATATATGAAGTTTAATAAAGCCTTCATCCAACAGTTAGAATAAAAATTGACTCATCCTATATAAACAAAAGTAGTTAGTTATTATTAATAAAAATAATGTAATAAAGATTTAGCTTATTTTCTAGATCTGCATCTCCAACCTCCATTATCTTATCAAATATCATGTCGACTACTTCTTCTGTAGGTGCTATTAACAAATAATTCATTAGATTTTTCAGATTATCTGAATAATGGTAATACTGAATATTGCTAGAAATAATGTAATTAGAAAAATGAATTAACAACCAATCAAATTGCAAAAGTATGATTAGGCACGATACTTACGCTCTATAATAGACTCGGCAAGACTTGAAAATGCAAATCAAATGATCTTCCCACATCTTATTATTATCAATTTCATGCAATATCATTTCTAATCCTTGAGCTTACGCAAAATTCAGATCATCTATTATGCATGTCTAATCACTCTCATAAATATGACAAATTTTTACTTGTGATCCAGTATAGTTTTCAACTGTTTTAATAATAACCTGAAAAATTTATTGATATGCTTCTGAAATAGAGACATTGATGAACACATGACAGTATGTTAATGCTGTATAGATATTGAGAAAAGAGTGGGTGGTGTTAGGAAAGAAGAGTTAAATTTTGAATATCTTTCATATCGATGACAGAAGTCAAGAAATAAAATGATTTTATTGCTCTTAATTAATCATACAAATGTGATGTTCCTCATCATATTGGTTGATCTTAAACTCATTTATCTCTTCTTGAATACGCTTAAACATGAGATCTACTTAAAAATAAGTCACCTTTAATAATCTCTCTACTTGTTCTTTTGCCATACAAACAATGAGTACATGACCATCTCCAAATATACCTATTTGCCAAAATAGATATATTGTAGACTCAAAATTAAATTAGGAAGTTAAGCACAAAATAAAACTTACTCATTTTTCTAATATATCCATTTATATTATCTGTATTGACTGTAAGTATATACGCTAGTTCTATTATACTTTGTCTATAAGGATGTATCTCTTTGTGTACTTTTGATACCAGATAGTGTAATTTATCAATATTATTTAGTGACACATGCATTTCACTTAATAGATCAACTCTGAAAAATCCTTTGATTAAGTTTCCTATAATACAATAAAGTAAATCTATAATATCCATGTGCATTAAATAAATTTCTTTCATTAAATATTGATTTACCAGAAAGTATTTTTTATGGAGTAATATCAGCTATATCTTCATGTACTGTTTTAATCAGTTTAATTAGTCTCTCTTGTATGATATAAGGAACATTGGTAGGTGATGATGAGGAATGTATATGAGTTCCAACTGATATTAAGACCACGAAAAGACATGCTTACAAGTCATAGAGTGTTAATTGATAAAATTTGACATTATATGTTTGGTGAATTAAAGATGATTAATAGGATCGACTATTTGTATCAATATGGACATGTCCTAAATTAAACAAATTTTTACAGATGCTTATATTATAATGAATATAATAAATTAACAATGAATACTAACCACAAGTTTTGAGGCCAGTATTTCAAGGTAAAATCATTTGACAATAATTAGTTCTATTTGTTGGAGTAAAATCCTACAGAGAAAATTAGATAATTAAATTCTTATTCAAATGCAATTTGATTATACAAAATGTATACTAACCTTTTCTTCTAAAAGTTGCTCAAATAGGTCAATATTCATATTTTTGTTTAATGGTCTAAACTAATATCTTTTTTCACCAAGTCACCAATTACCACATCCCACAAAATATCCCCCTCCATTTGATATTGATTATGCAAGCTGTTAAACTGGACTATTTTCCACAGTTAGGGTATAGTCTTGTAGATTTGAATAAACTTGAAGCCATTTCAGGATGGGAAGACTATTATATGTATTATTTAGAGATGAGAGCTGCAACTAGCTGCAACTCTATCGCAATTCTCTGATTGGCTGCCACAACTCTATCACAATTCTCTGATTGGCTGCCGCAAGCCGCAATTAGTTGAGAAGCTATCTTTAGTATTATTATCACTTTGATACTTGCATTTAATCTTCATCATAGTGAGATATTCTCTAAAGGTAATAAGTTATTAAACTTATCAATATAAAAATGAATTACATGCAAATAACTTATATATATGTATTTATTTCATGATCAATTAAGTATTCATTATTTTTTAATCATTTGAATTTATCAGAATTAAAATCGATATCATTATGATAATTATTACATAGTCCCAGATCAGTTTATTCACAAATCATAATATCTTGGCATGTTCTTTTATTTTTTTTTATTTCGATATTATTAAAATATGGACTGTGAGAATTATTTTGTCTGCCTGGGCTACCGATAGAATATTAAATCTATATATACACAAAAAATAATCAGCAATCTTATAAGAAATAAAGATTTTTTATAATAAATCTTACATCACGAAAAAATTCAGACACTTTGGTGTGCAAGACAGCATGGTCACTTGATATTTGTTCTAAATTAAATATAATAGCCACACTGTCATCCATTGTTAGAGGATATTCTACAGGTAATGCTAAATATACAACATTTTTTACTTTTAGATCCCACGTAAACTGATAAAAATCAAAATTTTTTTCTTCATCTGAACCAAGCACCTAGGTTAATAAAATTATTAGAAAGGTCTATTTTTCTTGCTTTACATCAAATTATTTAATTTATTTACATGTTCAAAAGTTTTCAGATCAATAAAATCGATCACTTGTATACTGTCAAAAAAAACTTCACTTTCTTCTATTTTAAAAAGTCAAGAATATATGAGTAAAGATGTAATTGAATCTAGTTTAAGTAATGAGCTACATGAATCTCTTTACCTTATTTAGATCAAAAATTTCTTCGATTAGAAAATCTCTTTTCACTTTGATAGGTAGAGTATACTAAGAACAGTAAAAATTTGAATTTTATACCAAAATGTAGCGTGACCAATAGAAATATCATATGATCAAAATGAAAGAGTTTTTAGTAAAATACGCTCACCTATTTAACTAAACCAAAAGAAATTTGACTTGAATTAAAAGTATATTAGTTTAGGACATACAATATTAACATATATACATATATATATATATTAGTTTTATAGGTATGGTATAGTTTTTTGTATTTTAATGTTAACATAATTAACTATACTATACTACCATGCTCAAATATATCATACTTAAATAGAGTATATCCACTTTTACACACATATTCAAAATCAACAAGAAAAATATATAATCTTAACATCACTTATTAATAAATATAATAATTCTAAACCAACTCCCTCACTCATATCATCAGATATTTATAAAATAGACTGGCTTCAAAAAGTAAAATAATAATAAAAATCTTTAGTAACAAAAAAGATATTAGAAATAAAAAAGCGTAAAGCAGAAATAATTATAGTTAATATCAAGAAAAATCAACAGTTACTCTATCATAATTCTGGTATAATACTTCATAATTCACTAGATAAAAACTATTAACAAATTTTCATTATCAAAGTACATCAAAATAATCAACTTACAGATCACCCTATCAAAGTTAAAAAACTAGTCAAATAATACTTTTATCAATAGATACATCATAAAAATATCACACTCTTTCCTAATAATCAATGATATAAATAATACAAATCACAAGATCATATATCAGACTCAGTATTCTTCATCAACTGCAATCCAATATCTCATAATAAATTTCTAAATACTCTCACAACAGCTCCCTCTTTCAAAGCTTCAGGTTCAGATGACATATATAATATTCTATTCAAAAAATATGATCATATAATCTACAATACTCTCATCAACTTATTTAATAATTACATATAAAAAGCAGATATAGTATATTAACAGAATGGAAAAATACTACTATAACTTTTATTCCAAAACTATATGACTGAGAAGGAAATCTAGATCTCATATAATCTATAACACTTATCAATAATACTAGAAAAATTTTTTCTTGTATTCTCACAAACTGTATTTCAATAATCTGTAAAAAACTCAACATATTACAAAGCTTCAATTTATCAGTTCTTCTCGATATCAGCACAATTGCTCCTATCCACATACTTAACAGTTTGCTTGAAGATATATGCTCTCATAAAAAAGAAATTTGATACATCTTCCAAGATATGAAATGAGTCTATAACTCTGTCAGTTAGATAATACTATTCAAAATACTTATATGAATAAAAATACACTCTTAATATATTAATCTCTTAAATAAAATATACAATTCTCACTTTAATTAAGTAATCACTGCATATGGTAATACAAAATAATATCCAGTACTTGATAATTTAGATCAAGAAGAAGTTAATACTCCTATCCTTTAGTACATATTTTATAATCCTTTACTTTGCTATATCAATATATATCACTAACAAGATGGATATATAATCTCTACATCATAGATATCATCTATATATCCCTATAATCAGTCTATAATTTTTAAAATAATTAATCATAGTATATACGTAAATGATATAATCTGACTAGCTTACTCATCAATCAGTATGCAAAATATTCTTAATTCAGTTATCTAATTCTATAATATGTGTGATATCAATATCAATACTTTAAAAATAGAAGCACTTTAATTTAATACAAATCCAAACTTCCCAATACCAATTTTACACTTTGGAAATGAAAATGCATTTTTAAAAATTTTATAATCTTCAGAAAGTACAAAATATCTAGGTTTCTAGATCAGTAGAGATGGCAAATTTCAAAAATAACAACAAGTTATCAAACACAATATACAACACATATCATATATACTAGCATAGAAAAAACTCAACCATTAGCAAGTTATTTATATTATTAACAATATCCTATTTCTAACTATTAAATATCAATTACAATTCATCATTCTCTCCAAAATATTTTGCTTATCAATAATATATCATTGCAAAAAGCTACTAAAAGTCAAAGCAGATATAGTATAAGATATACCTGATACCCTTTTATATCACAAAAACTATTTTAACCTAATAAATATATGGAAATTATAATCATAGTACAAAATAAGTGAGCTCATATACTGCATTAATGATATAGGTTTACTTAGATAAATTACTCAAATTAGATTATAAGACCTATAAGAATAAAGATAGCTCTCACACTCAATACTTTTAACTTCAATACTTGAATACTCTTCTTCTGGCAAAAATCTTATTATAAGTATCCTTCCTCTAATAGCAAAAACTAATATTAGCTTCATTACTTTCAACATTATATAGTAACTAATATCACAACTCTCTAATACAGATAACTCTCTCTATAATATTGTAATCAATTACTTATTTGTGTGATGCAATAGACATGGTACAGTATATGGTGCAGCTACAGCATATGATGCAATAATCACTGATTACTACTAAATTAGATGAATAAGTAATTTTATTAATTAATCTTATTTATAATTAATTCTATTTTTAATCTATATTATTACCTATATTTAGACTTATTCAAATATTAATTTAGCTATGTGTGTTACTTTTAATTTATAGTTTTATTAAATTAATAATTTTCTAATTAATTATTATTAATTTTCTTTCATTTCTTGTTTTAGCTTTAAATAACTTAATATTTTACTAATTTTAATTCTTTATTATTATGTATTTAATATTTC